AGTGCTTAACAAGTCTAACACCAGTGTATTACAAATAAAACAAGGAGGAGAGTTCGTTACAGTAGTAAATTGCGAAGTCTTTGCAATCACTAAAGGGAATTGTGGTTGATAATGTCAAGAGACATAAGAAACTTAATGATGACAGATAATACTGAATAACTACTCAGATCTGTTTCAATATTCGACTGTGAGAAATAATCTGTGTTAATAGTGTGATCACTAATTGATTTGTGTATTAGTATAAATAGCAGTTTTGACAATAAACAACTTACGTGACCATAACGGCATAATAAACGTCTTTATAGGGCACAAGTACTCCACCACAGATCATTATTTTGTTTTTGTTACGTGTAATGCACATCATCTGAAATTAGATGACTGAAGGTGTGGCTCATGAAAACTGGTATCTTATTTCAACAGACCTAGTTAACTATAGCACGGAATATTAGTGAGAAAAAACAGTGAATCCATTAGGGTTGTTAAACCTTATTAATTTGGGTGGCTAGGATGTGTGCTATGCATGCCAAACCCCCACCTCCTTCGTCGGGGGATTTCAGGTATAGTAGGATTTGTTCGAGAAAGTGTTTTAAGCAACCAGACTCATAACTGCATCATATCATCGGTACAAATAATTTCTGAGACATGTAAAATAACTGACATTTTCGAACAGATTTAATATTGTATGAAATCTTGAGAAGGTGGGATTACATACAAGATTGCAAGCTTCCTGTTTCAAACCAAACCCTGCCACGAAGTGATAAGAGCAGTCAGATGAAAGTAATGGTATCAGAACACCAGTATGCCATAGTTGGGTCTCTTCAGCCGTTAGTATTTATGTATCCTCTAAGCATTCAGGATGTGGAATATTTAAAAATGATCTATTTCGATTAATGTCTAGTGCACGATGGTGAAATCATTTGTCACTAAGGTTGGGGGAGTCTATCACAAGGTTAAACTTAAAGCTCTCCCTTTAAGTCAGCAAAAATGGTTTTCTGTGGTCATAAAAACTGTTTTATTTCAACTCATTTTGTTACAAGGAATTCACTACGGTGAGTTTCCTTGAAAATGTTTACCTGTAAATCAGTTTTTGTCTTTGTGATTTATTTGTTGTTATCTACGTGTTTCGTCTTTTCGACCTTGAGTAAATAGCCCTCTTTTGTCTGGACTATGCGCTGAAACTTCTTTTTTGGTGCCTCTTCGGAAAAAACACTGATGATTTTTCAATCTTTACTTAAGTGTCTGAAAGATAAAATCAGTGATCATTATGGATATTTTAGAAATGCTAGAACATGGTTAACTCCATTATGGATAAGATTTTATTTTGATAAATCACACAGTGTTATACAGTAATATTAACTGATGACGTTTCGAGCACAAACTATTGCTCATGATCATATCATATCAAGAACTTGATATGATTATAAACAATAGTTTGCGCTCGAAACGTCATCAGTTAATATTACTGTATAACTGTGTGGTTTATCAAAGTAAAATCTTATCCATAATGGAGTTATACTCTACCACAGTGCCCAAGTTTAATACTGATATCAATAGAACATGGTTAGGTCGCTAACAAAAGTAGGAATTCACGATTCTATAGAATCTTACCTTCAAAGCTATACAGTCATTTAGCTGTTTATATCTACTTTGTCAGCTGACAAAAAAGCCAGAGATTATTATAGCCTAGTAGCGAAATAAGTCAGTGTGTAAGAAATAACGTGTTAAAAATGGTAAATAGTATCAAATAGTTAAACCATTTGACGACTAATTCGTTTTACAATGAATAGTCATTTGGAAACAAATGACAAGGCACAAGGGAAAAAACGGTTAAAATGTGTTACGATAAAGAAAAAAGAAAAGGACTACGTAGAGCTTATTATGCAAACAATTCAGAAAATTAAATTGATACTAAGTCTATGATAGTAAAAGCAAATGGATAAGACTTTTCTGAACACAAAAATGGAGTTTTTGCTTATGGGTTGTTATAGCTTTGGTCGCATGAAGTAGATACAAGCAAAATCCTTTTGAGAGGCATGGTCTTACTTTATATATGATTTCGAATAAAGTTTGTACTGATACTGCGTGACCAGAAATAATAATATGTTTCAAAATGCAGCTGTCAACCGTTCTGCGTTAGCCTGTCAGTAGCCATACTGGTAGGTGTTCATGAACGAGTCTAAACAGGCCGCTTTTGGTACTGCCAGTGACTTTTAGCTTAGCAAAACCAGATACATCACTGATGAACTTAGCCTCAAACGGGCGAAGCGACCATCTAGTGTGTAGAAAACTTTGGTATGGCTAGATCGCATATAGTTGAATTGAGCGGTTTCCAACTGCTCATATCACTCGACCAGTAGTATATAACTTCATGCCATTTATGGTATAAAGCAGACTACATGTTATTAATTCCTAAATTGTGAACTAAACTAACTCTAGTAATAGCTAGCATATTTGGATCTGGGATATTTTCAGTGGAATGGTATGCAATGCTAATCATCCTATTTCACAAAGAAAAATTAACCTTCCTGTGATAATCATGGAAGGACTAACCTAGCGATTATAATATGTGGGATTCTGAGTTTCATATTCCTGTGAGGACTTATCATAGCCTGGGAAAAACAAGCTCGTTAAAATGAAGTGGGGCGTAAATGCAGAGGAATGTGTTTTGATCAAACGTTCGCCACTCAACATATCCTCGAATACCACTCGCCATATTTAGTATCTTGAAGGTGATATTCTACACCATCAGTCAATAGGTTTTATGGTGATGTATGGAAATTATGAAGGGAGTGTCACAAGTGTATGTTGTACTAATTGAGGAACTCTGCTCAAGCTCGTGCGTCTTTGTGATAATTTTCGGTAGGCTATCGTTTGAAGTGAAGACAACCAGTGGTATCGATCTGAGATGCCATATGTCACTACCTTTATTATAGATTTATTGAATGAAGTGAACCTGGTGAGAGCTTCCTTTCTAGCTGAGGACAATCTCATTGATATAGAGTATATGGATGACATTAACAAAATGCAGAATATACTGAATACCTCATACCGAAATCTCAGTATATTTGGCATCCAATTTACCCCTTCCAAGTGTAAAATGCAGTTGCACAACTGAATTGCACTTATTCGTAGTTTAAGTAGGAAAAGGATTATCCAGTTTCCCTATTTGGGAAACGGAATCAACCCTAATGGAATGACTGCCGACTAAATCCCAACAAGATACAAAATGCTTATTTGACATTTTTCAGCTTGCATTATCTTTTGTGCAGGCGTTAGGTAAGGACTAGAAGTCAGTCAGTGAAGTAATGTCTTGCGCATACCAACTGGTATGGCACCAGTCCATGAAGACTTTGAATCTTAGTCTAGGTCAGATGAACAGGTGTAGCCTGCCTCATCGGAGTCCTCGAGATACTAAGAATAAATGGTTGCAGATTATTAGTGAGATGGTTAGAAATCTTTTTCAGCAGACCAGAAGTATTCACCCCTTGAAATATTCCAGATTCAATCTCTATAATCTACTTATCGTTTTTGCTGCACATTTTCCTATTTTAGTTTCACTCCATTTCTTTCCTCTGCTTTTATATTTTTACAAAGCAAAGTAACTCAAACTGCTTCACTTGTTTCAAACTTCTACATTCATAGTTTTATTCAGTTTGAAGACATCCACTTTTTATATATGGTTCAGATAACTGATAGGTCATTGAAAGCATTTACATCAGACTGTAGATGACCGTCGACACTTGCCTTTGCTCGTTACTGAAGATCAGACGTCCATCCAGAAGGAATAAATAAGCAACAAGGAAATCTGACAGCAAACAAACCGACAACCTATTACCAAACAAATATGCAGAAGGAAATGGAGATGGACTAGTTATAGACCGAGGAGTCCATTGAGTGATATCACGCACGAGACTAAGGTTTGAACGCCGATAGAAAGCGTAGGCTGGAGTGTCCGATGATGGCAAAGATAACGTCATATAAAGAGCGAGAGAAAAATTCTGGCTAGTCTTAAATACAGAAGAGAGTTCAATGGAGGTGTGGAGCTGAAGGCCTCTTTTCCACTAGTTACACTAAGGAAGAATGGAAATACGGGAGATGAACATCCCATCAATACAAGGAGTAATTATAATCATAATTAAGCATACAAAGAAATTGATGGGAAAGATATGACGAATATTTTATTTCTGCCCCTCAGTGAGTATGATGGTGGTTAAGGACCTAATCAGTTGTTTGAAGCAGGAAATCAGCAACGTAATTTGATTTAATTTGTCATTCTTTTACACTTATCCATTTTTATACTGTCAAAATGTTTGTGGGCACTTTATTATAACAAAGACATGAAAAACAAAGAGCTGATTAGATGTAATAGAAAAGTAGAAAACCTTTTCATAGATACTGTACTGCAATATACCCGCTCTCTGGAATAAAGCCTGCAGTACTTTCAAATATAAATTAGAATATGCTCCAGTAAATAAAAGATGTTTTTTATTAGGCAGGGTTTTAAGTAATTTCAATATTTGAGACTCCCGGTTGTGGTAATGAAAAAAAGTTAAACTGGTGTAAGTCATTTAAAAACATACTTCTACTTCAAAACAGAAACTTAATTTCCCACTTATGCAACATTTAGGAGATGATTTTACATCAAAACGCAATTTACAAGCTTGTGTCATTTCATTTTCAGTAGCAACCTACTGATTGATAGCAAGCTGAAAATCTAATGGCAGGCGTTTTAAATAACAAAGAATGCGACTTCAGGTCACAAAGCTGCGATGAATTATCAGTAAAGTTTCGCTGTTGCCTTTCAGAGTATTAATAATAAAGGATGTATTTTTATGTTGGAATTTTTTAAATTGGTTTCCTGAGCACAATGCTGCTGAAAAGAAAATCATTAACTTTATTAATTAAATATCATAAAGTTGGTTCTCCACAGGGTTGTGTTTATGATTTTTTATTTACATGTGAAATACTTTATTTATTATTTTAATTATATTTTCCTTTAGAAAATGTATCACCATTCGATACGAAGGGCAAATCAAGCGCCAACTCAACGACAAATCGTCCAGAACCAATAAAGAAAATTATACGATCATCAATTACAGAGATGGAAGAGGTTAAAGAAAAATCATTCAAGTCTTATTTTGATGCGTCATCTTCTGGATTCACTCAGTCACCTGAAGAATTTTCCGATTTAACCAAGACTCGAATACTACATGCTAAATATCCAAGCTATTCATCCTCGACCAGTTCTTACCAATATCATCACCATGTTGAAAATGTGTCTAAAAAACCTGAAGACCATATGAATAATGGTAACGTAACATCACACAAGGTTATTTCGTCCATAAAAAAAGTAACACCGGAGACCTCGACAACACTTATGAATGATTGTGAGAGTATTTCAAAACAACAAATAAGTGTTCCTATCAAAGTACGACGTGCACCTCAGGATGTTCGAGTTGTACATGCTTCAAACTCTAGTTCTTTGACAAGGTTAGATGAATTCAAACGAAACTGTGAAAGAGCAGCAAAGGAATGGGAAAATAGAATTAGCTCAAAAGATAGTAATAAATTATCCGAAGAAGTAATGCTGCAAAGGATAGCTGAATTAGAATCAAATGTAAAAGAAGCTGAAAAGTAAGTGGATTTATCTGTGTGCACTTCTTCGTTTTTGAATACAACAGATTAGCTGATGAATATCAAGCTAATTTAAAATATATATGTTCCACTTTTTAGGAGGACAGAACATTTTTCATCTTAAACATCAATCACTTAAGCACAAATTGCTAGTCAGAAACACACATGCAACATATTTCATCTGTCTGTCTTCACATCAGATCGATATTTTGCACTGATACAGTTTTCAGATAAAAATCAAAGGTCGTTTGTCTAAACTTTACTGACTATTAGCTTCAATAATTAAGTGGATTTATTCAAGGTGTGTCAGATTGTTACTACTATTTTTGCGACATGATACTTGTGCAGTATTCTGCAGTTTCTGAAACTCCTCATTATTAATTTCGTTGTCTTTCTCACAAAAGATAGGCACAGATGAGTCGTTATTTCCTAGATACATTGCTCATAATTTACTTACTTTTGTTATAATTTAAATAATTTAAAATGTGATTCCACGTTTCAACATGTCACTTTTTTCATTAGCCATGCTTATGCAGAAGACGGTTTTCTTTTCTCAGATTTAATACTATTAAACACAGTGGGCGATTTCTGTGTTTGTTCATCTTAAAATTTTAGTATGGCAAATTAGGGTTTTGACTTTTTTCATGAATGATTTGTGATTGCTTTTATTTTGTGAGGCTTTCCGTTATTTATAACTATATTTATTTCTCATTTATGTGTGATGACTCATGTACAGTGACTTACTTTGAATGTAACTACATCACAAATTATGTGGCACGCTGAATTAGAAATAAAATCATGAACAAATTTGGAAAAACTTTAAACATTCAGACATGCACTACGTCAGTGTGTATAAACAGTTCTATTGAAACTGATCAAACTCTTCTTTCAGGACTAGTGACATATTGTTGCATGACGTTACGCTAAGTATATTTGAAGAATTAGTCACTGGACACTTAGTCTTAAAGAATGAAAATCTTTCTTGGCTGTTTTAAATGAACTGGTTTTCTTCCTTATAATAAATGTAACACAAGATAAATAAATTTTTGAAGTGAAATCGACAAATTTATCATAAAATATACTTTAGTACACAATATTGCAATGTTCCATGGCATCTGTAAACAACACCAGCAGAATAAATGAATGCTATCTGACGAAACTTTCAAAATGATGCGAAGTGGAAGCCTTTGAACACTTCACCTCTGCTTTAGGTAAGTTTATCCATCAGTCCTAAGTTGTGACCACTGTAAAGATATTATCTTCTTTTCACGTGTTTTCCATATAACAAACAACATACACACTCATACAAACAGATATGCACATATGACGGTTTGACATTAGTTATTACAAATATCTGATGAATATTTACATTTTTCTATTGCTACGATTGGCTAGCTACCAGTGACCTTCAAAGGAACTGACTTCAGTTAGTGTAATTTTTTTGGCTTACACAGCAAAACCTTCAGAAGAATTTCGTTTTGACCTTTTCTCAAACACGTTGGGATTATTTTCAATAATTTATAATGATTCAGTCTCACTCGGTGTTTAAATTATTCCAGGGAATTTTTACTAACTGTGGTCTGGATATTTATGATTTTATCTGGAATAGTTTTCAGCGAAAACGTTTTTACTTACATTTGTGACATTGTCTCTCCCACTCATGATGATGTGTAATGTCCAGAGAATAAAACTCTATAATAGTTCTCTGTATAAATATTTATCTAGAACGGGTTTGAAATACTTAAAATTCCCTTAGTTGTGTGTCAAATCAAAACTAGTATCGTGTGGAATCGCAGTTCACTACAATGTTAGTATACTAATTTTATATCTCAGCATTTTGCAGAAATTATTATTTCTGAAGTTTTTTAACTTTCCGTCCATTTTTAAGAGATTATTATAGCGACTCTGTTGGTAATGAAACAGTGTTTAAATATAGTTAGAGATTTGTGGTTTCTATTTGTATGAAAAAATATGTTTTCACTTTAACGAAACTCTATCTTTTTTTAAGACGTTTAAGCTGTTCATGAACTTGAAACATTTGGAGAAAATGTGTTACGACAGGAAAAAAATCTGTTAATGTTTTTTAATGACCCTAGAACTGTGCATCTAATTACCGTATCTTGTTCTAAGCATTTTGATGTTTCATGCATTCCATATTATCATTCATTTCAAAACCATATGATGATGTTGAAATTTATTCTGAATTCAACTTTATTCCACTATTAGAAACTCCATCTCCGGATATCTGAAATTCTATTTACGGAAATTTGAGTAATAGTGAAACAAATAATCCCTGTTATTTTTGCGAAATCAAGATTCAATATGTCAGTTATATGAGAGGTCACAACTTGCACTAACTTTTCAGAATTGCATGAATTAGTCTTTCTGTTGTTCATAGTAAACAGTTTCTACATGTAGTCATATGCTAATCTTCAATGATAGTATCAGAACAAAGGTCACGTTTAGCAAAACTGTTGTAGAAAGGGAATCCATACTTTTTGAAATGCGCATATGAATTAAAATGAAATGCGTACATGAAAAAGTCCATATCATTTGTTTGCATTTTTGAAATAATCCAATGAAATATATTATTATAAGTCTTTATAAATGGTGTGTTACTTAAAGTACCACCTAATACATCCATCTTTCAAAACCAGTTGCTGTAGCCAATAGGGGTAATCAAGATAAAAATTAGATATGAATATTCCTAATACTTCAGTTGCGTTGGTTAATTAATGGCTGAATGCTCTCCAGCCATCCATATGTTACGAGTTCGATATTGTGTATTAATAGGACCTCTCCAGTTAACCAAAGCCTTCCTGTACAACCTTGGTACCATCAAAATTTATCTTTTATCCATTTGTACCGAATGCAGTGCCATGACTCATTTTTAATTCATAACTTATGACCTAAAGTAATGTTCTAAACTGGAAATAATGAAAGTTTACTTCCAATTAAACAACATGAATGACTTTGGTTAGCATTTTGTCTCAAGAAGTTGTTAGTATGAAAATTTGCAATTATCATAAATTAATATTCCAACATGCTAAATTTACATTCTTCACAGCTTTTTAAATTAAGTTTCGAATAACTTATAGTGAACTATAAAAAATACGAATTACTTACTTGTACATTCATCGAAAATACAATATGATGAATCTTTTCATTTAAACAACCTATACAGGACTTAATACTGTGTTTGAATTTTAGTCAGTTAATTTAGTTATTTACCATCAGTTTAGTCATTAGGAAATCTAATGTAGTACTGGCTCAATGAAAGGTTTATGCTGAGGTATACTAAGATTTATTGGTTCAGAACATATATTTAATAAAATGTAAATGGTTCAGGGAAACAAAACACCAAGATTTTCTTTTGCTTGTGTTGGTTTCCGGGACCTCAAACCGATTTCATGTGGTTTAACTATTCTGAATTCTTTTTTATTGCATCCCTTGACAAGACGTTGCATATTAAAAATCCTAATAATAATGAAGACTGATTCTATTCTAATTAATTCTTCATGGTTCTTCTGATATGCGTACCTATAAACTGTTCTACAGTTTACAAAACGACCATGTGACATTATTCTTTAACCAGTTTTGGTTTGTAACTAGAATCACTTTATCCACTACGGATTTATTCATTATTTTTATGTTCAATTCTAACAATACGATGTCAACTAGCAACTGAATTTCTTTGTTTGATTTCTTTTCACCTCTTCACTTTCTAAATACTCAGAATCCTGCGAACTGGTGGTAATGTGAAACACAAATAAATAAAAACAATTAGTCGTCTGTGTCACAAAGTATCAGTTCTATTATTATTATTATTATTAGTAGTAGTAGTAGTAGTAGTAGTAGTATTGATAATGACCCATATCAGTGTCTGCATTTATAGAATGAAAAATTGTCTTTTTATCAAAGTCCATTATCGACATTTGGGGTTCCTATATGCTCATAAAAACTGAATTTCAGCATGGAAATGAATGCTAAAACTATTTTCTTCCATTATATAATTACGTGCAGATGCTAATTCAAAACACTGGAGAAATGCATTCTTCCTAATTAATCATTAGTTGAATATGACAGAGAACTAGAAAACTATCTGTGAAACAACATATACGTCAATTAGTATTGAAGATGAAGGGAAGTAAAATTCTGTTCCGAACTTTTCTGTCTTGTCACTAATGACCACTCCGCATTCAGCTGCAGAAATGGAATTTTTATCATCATTTTTAAAGGACATTGAGTAGGTAGCCTTCTTTACAGAATAAAGTGCAACGAAACTAAATTTCAAGCTTCAGATAAATACCATGAGACCAAATCTAACATTCGTTCTGAAGGACTGGTTCATTTATTTAAGATTTCGATGTACTACCAGAACTTCAGATTACTTATGTCTAAAAAGTGCAAGTGGTTCAGCATACAACGGCGAGTTCAGTTCTCTTTGTCACAAACTATTACCTATACACTACTCATCAAATAAGCGTCATTGAAAGATGAAAATAAACCACATTACATCAAATTAATTTTGGTAAGTATACAGTCGATAGAAGTTATCACATTTTAGAGATTGAATCAAATAGGAATTATTCAACTTGTTTTATTTAAAACTAAGTTGGTAATCATTTTATATAAGCTACTAGTGTCTATGTTTCGTAGGTTTCAGAAGCCTTTTTTCATTCCTGAAGAATAATAAAGAAGTTTACTTTCTTGATACAAAAGCCATCAGTTGATAATTTTTAACTAGTTATTGTAAGAAGTTAAGCAACCCAACATTATTTTTATTTTGTGAAAGGCTAATCATCATAAATACCTAGGTGTTAAAATTTAAATCAGTAGCTTTATTGGCTTTTTATTAACGTTCGACCACCTTTGCCTGGTCTTTCGGAAAAAAATAAGCGTCATCTTAGTATCTGATTTATAACCTATGTCTAATATGTTTGTTGTAGTTACACTATAAAATAAGGTATGTCATGCACGTTTTAAATATCTTTAATCTTTCAACTAGGTCGTATTCATAAGTTTAAGTTTCAAGTGCCTCCTAGAGTTGACACCAGATACAATTTAAACAAGTAGAATTTTGAACTTGTAAAGTTACTAGTCACGTTTAAGTTGTACTAAGTAAAATATGCTAATTTCGGTTTCCATCATTTTCGTTAAATCCATAACATATATGAGTGTTAATTGTCAAGAGAAAGTATAATGACATAAAAAAACCTAGCTCTTCTACACTTTATTTATTTTGTATCTATTCTCTTGCAAGAATTGGAAACATTTTTTTTCGATATGAATTTAAAACAAGCAATAAAGGTTAATAAAGCAGGATTTAATGAATTCATCAAATTTCGGTAGAGCTCGTCAGCTGAATACTCTACATACACGGATACATATACTTTTGAAATTACATTGGAAGATATAGGACTGATAAGTAAACAAACTACATTGAATTAGTCATGCAGAAAGACAGGTGCGAATGTTTTTCCAGGTCATGTTGAAATGGATAAGGGGAGAGAGAGTATGAGAGATCTCTTATTTTGGTGAATTCATTAAATCCTGCTTTATTAACCTTTATCGCTTGTTTTAATCTCTTGCACATGATCTAGTAGTTTATGTATAACTCATTCGATTTTAACAAAGTGGCTTTCACTCAGTTTAGTGTGAGGTTAATGAAGAGCAATCTTTATGCAACTGATAGCCATGTAATTTATTCAGATTTACAAATAATCTGAACTTGGCAAGTTAAACGTTGAAAAGCAATCGAGTAAGAAAGGGAAATACTTATATAAAAGAAATGTGATTGGTTGTATACTGCGCAAGTCACATTTGTCTTCGGAATAAAGAACAAAGGTAGACAGTATCACTGCATAATGACTGTAATTTCTTCAACGGAATTCGGAAAGAAACGAGAGACCAACTGAAGAGGCAAAGATTTAATGCTGCAGGGAAAACGTGGTGTAACTAGGAGATAAAGTTAAGTGTATATTTATCTAACATAATCAATAAATGACTATTTGTAAAAAATTATACTTTTAAAGTCTCAGCGAGATTGAAATGAGTAATTCCAAGGTTTCGTTCGGAAATCTGGTCCGAAAATCTTCAGGGAAATTAATCGAAATTAACATAACAGAAGTTTATATATAAAAGGAACATCACTTGTTTTCAAAAACTTTCTCCAATCATGAGTCATTCAACAAGTATAATAAACAAAAGTTTATGAGCTGTGATCGAAATTTGACCTCGGACTTACAAATATTGGTCTACCTGTGTTAAACACTTTAAACAGAGTGTGTATGTGTGTGTGGGTGAACAGTTGTAAAACATTTCTTAACGTCTCCATAAGAAGATATGGACAGTGGGGAATTTCGACCAAGTATTAATAATTAGTGATACATATCCATTTTTGTTTATTAATAAGGATTTCCTATGCATCAGCTAACATCACGCCTTCATGTCTGTCCAAACTGTTAGTATCTAGAATTTTATGATTAGAAGTACTTTCAAAATAATGGTGTTTAGGATTAGAGTTTAGTAGGAGCACCCTGTCGGACTCATTGCTTTGTCTTCTTTCTGAAGATTGAGCCGCTTCATTCGACCTACCGGAGTTGTCAGGTGACTCGACAGCTACGGATTTACGATATGCATTCTGTTGCAGACAACGGAGAGTGAAAACACGATGATTGTGCCAATTACACAGTTTCTTTGTTAATTTAATTCGATTGCAAAATAATAATTCAAATGAACTGTCGTCGAGATTTGACAGAATAGTTCTCAAATATTTGGGCGCCGAGTGAGAAGTAGACATTTGTACAAATGTCTACTGTTTACCCGCACACACATACACACTCTGTTTAAAGTGTTTAACACAGGTAGACCAATATTTGTAAGTCCAAGGTCAAATTTTGATCACAGCTCATAAAAGTTTTGTTTATTATACTTGTTGATACTGACTCGTTAATACATTTCTTTTCACACAAAAGAGGCTCAGTTTTGGTTGTGACTTATGTTTCGCACTTAGCTGTCAGTATGATTATTGCCTGACAGTTCTAACCAATTTTCATTGTTTTATTTAATCTTAGATAATGTCTTTTGTCAATCACACACAATTTAGTATCACTGTTTTACACTTGTTTGTTGATAAACTTTGTGTAATGCTTGAAATGTGATAAAGGAGTTATGTAAAAATGATGTTTGTTCATTTGTGAAGTCAGTTAGTTACGCTGATTATTCTTTGATGAGATTATTTCCGATATTAAATAATAATCTTAAATCAGTGACGTATAACTAGGTTTTATACAACTTTTCAGTGACTGAATGCATTTTAAAGAAATTGTAAGGATTCGACAAGCAAATAACATGACCATTATAATCACCTCTCAGAATAAAAGAAATGTAAAACATCTACATTTTGATTTCAACATCTTAAAGTGCTAGTTTTCAGTTCACGTTTCACTTTAGCATTGGTAAATTATAAAATGCAAGCGTATGATGATTGAAATAACAGATAGTCAAACTTTTTGACAAAAGTTCTAGTGAGAATTCGTGACCAGTCTGGCCCATCTAGTCAGAAGTGAGGATGGAGTTCCTGCCAATGACACTGATTGGTAGCCGCGCTAAAACCTCGAGTTGGTAGAAGTTAGAATTCATGGGCAACTGAGCCGGGTCCCAGTGGCTCAATGGTATAAGAGCTTGCCCTGTAACCGGAAGGTCTTGGGTTCATAATTCATTAGGTATGTTCTGTCAATAAGTTCCAAACTAAGAGGAAACAGATGTCCAGTACTTCCTGGTTTCCAATGGTTCTCTAACTGGTATTAATACATGGTCAAACTCAAAAATCAAATCAAATCCTTGCAAATCAACTCTTGAAAAGCAGAATTATTTGGAAATATCAATTTTATGTGATTTGACTATTTTCCGTTATTCTTAACAAAATGAAACATATCCTGCTTTTTCAGGCGTATGGTGAACCTTATTTGAATAAGTAAAATTTGAATTAACCATCGTTAGTTTCCAACGTTATACTTATTTTATCTTCTTCTTCTTATATACAGTTTACTAAAGTTATTCTCAGCCGAAATTAGAGAAGTACGTGCAACAGCTGATTATTGGTCTAAGAAAACTACAAATCTGGAACGATCATATCATAATCTCCATGGCAAAGTGAAAGACTATAGAGCAAACGCTAAACAAAGTGAACAAGAGTATATAAGAGCTATGGAAGAACGTGAATACATCCTACAGAGTGTAAGTTAACATTGGTTATGTGTAATGTACTTAACTTACTGATAAGAGGAGAATTACATAGGAAACATTTTCTGACTATTAAATGAAAGACTGATTTGACATCAGTGTTCAACGGTTATGGTGCTGTGTGACCAGAAGTAATAATATGCTCCAAAAGTGAACTGTTGACTGTTCTGAGTTCTCCTTCAGGAAACCATGCTTGTAGGTGTTGAAGATTTCATCTAGAAAACGCTGTGCTTCTACGGTCTTTGTATTTAACTCCACAGGAGGAATGAATTGGTGAATACATGCTGAAGTTGCAGATAGTAGTGTCATGTATTTGACATTTCGCTGAACAAAAGCGTATGTAGAGAAGGTGAGGCATACAGATTCAGCAAAGAACATTCTTCCCATAAGCCATATCAGCATGACTTTGTCAAAATCTGCTCATGAATACCGAGCAGCATGGAGCACTCTTAATTACATCTAGCCACTCAGCATCAACAGCAACGTTGATGAGAGTCACACATAAACATCGGGCCACTCAGACTCATTTTGCTAACATTTTCATCATCCAACCAAAGCTCTAACAATACATAGGATTAAACATGAATTTTATGTCCAGAAACGTTATATCCAGCCACTTTCACTATCTATCATAGCTCTAGTATCAATTTAATTTTCCTGATTTGTTGAATAATACGTGGTCTTTTTAGTTTTTATCTTTTCCGTAACCTAGTTTCAATTCTTTGTACCACAGGAAGCATTTTATGTTGTTCTAGGCTTTCTGTAGAATGCATACTAACTTTTCTAATATAAAAAGTCTTTCATTAGTATGGAAAGAGAAAATAAGATTATAGGTACTACAACTGGTAAAATATCAGATAACAACTTAATATCGAATAAAAACAGCTACAAATTCTAGTCATTAAAATCAAATATTTATTGGACAAAAGATTGTTTCAATAATTCATGTCATTTGACTAAACAAAAGTTCGCTTAAATTACAGTAAAGCAGCTGTGGCGGTCTCTCGTGATCTGTATTTACATTAATTCATTGAAATACACGAAAAGAGATCTTTTTTACTAGTGAGTCGAAACATTGTTAAATTTATATGGAATGATATCAAAATAATTTCGTACACATAGCGTGAAAAACTACTGACAAGTTGTGGAAATAAATGCCTGCTTATTATTACAATGGTTGAAGTAACATAGAAATACTTTTGATAAAAGAGGGACTGAAGCTTGAAATAATGAGTATGTCAGAAAAACACTTTAATAGAAGTGTTCAGAATCACTCACACGACTCTAGACAAGCATAATGCATGACACTAAATCGATACGTATTCAACCAGTTGCCTAATAGCAAGCCTTTTATACTTCCGTTGGTTTTGAAATTATTTCTGATTAACAAAATACGACGTATGTGTTAAACGACACCTTGTGAAACTTAATTTATGCATAAAGTCAGTAACTAAGGGAATTACCAAGACGTTGAATGGTGAGTAGAACAATGATGCACGTTACCACTTGATTGCACAATAATAGGCTCTTGATCCTTTTCCTTTCTTTCAAATAAAATTAATACAAATCTGACTCTTTTGACTAAAACAGTGACGCATTTGAGATCCGGTGATGTTTAGTTCACATTATATTGTGATCTGTATCTTTTTCAAGTCAAGAGACGTTAGAATAAATATTTTTCAAATACTAAAATAAGATTTCGACGAAACCCTAAGAAGAAATATCTTATCTGAGTGGTGAAATGTAATTGTTTCCAACAGTTCTGCAAATGATATCAATCCGTGATCAAACTTGAAACAAATTAAATCTCCACAAACAAACTCTTGGGAAATTATGTATTTGCGCAACGTATTTTGAACAATCTGATCACAAACGTACTTGTCGTAGGGATATATATGAAAATAATGGAGCGGCAGTGACAGAGAGAATAGACATAGGTCAAGTTAAAAGGCTGTATTATAGGTCAAAATGAAAACGGCGATCAATAAACCACCGGAGAAAGATAATAGTACATCTGCCTTGGTATCAAAAAGTTTACCAAGGTGGATTTAATATGATGCAGAATTGTTTTTGACAAATGAAGGTGGTTTAAACTTCCTAATCTCTACGGTTTCCACAAACATTAGGACACGCCCTAAAAACGTCTTATATATAGTTCTATAAGAGGTGTAAAAGTCAGTTTAATCCCCCGCCTCTAGAATACGTTTTGCAATAGAGGTTGTCCGTTTTGCCCGTTATTCGGTTCAGGGGAATATATTTGCTTCTGAAGCCCCTACTTGCAAAGACTGATGTGTCCTCCCTGTCTATGTATGACCACAAGTACATATAAATTGGTGAATACAGTGGGATGTGACATCATTTTTTGGATGTCCTAAGGGCTCACATGGATATGTAGGCTCCACATTCTCAGCTATTCGGATTTTAGCAGCGTAAAATGTTTTCTTAACTGCAGCGTTCAATTTTTGTTTAATTGGCAAGCTATGATCACCCATGTAGGGTAGCTTGATACACCTATCCTAAATGGCGGTGAGTTGGACAGTCGATCTTTGTATTCTGATTAATTTTCATTCCCCTCATTAATTTCTCTGGATAATTATTATCCACCGGAGTTTCTGTCAGTTTTCTTCCCTGGTCTTTAAGTGTATCCTCTGTGGTTATTGATTGGAAACCACTAAACTCACCTAGCCTCTTTTGTGTCGAACAGGACAGAGGCTGCCTTAATTGAGATACTCTCCTGTCCAAGTAGGTTTTCTGTAGACAGATTGTTGCACTTACCCATTAGGCTGTCGACTAAGCGGTATATCTAGGAAAGAAAAGCAATTATATGTATATTCTCCAGATGTGAGTGATTTCCTGTTTTGCACTTCATTCATTCTATCTAAAACGTAAGTGGCAGAAAAGGGATTGTCACATATGGTCAACGCGGTGTCAATATACATATATAAAGTGGTACACTTTCAATTAAATCTTCCGATAATCCGTCAGTGTACGACAAAAGTTATCCTATGACAAGTGCATGCGTGATCAGATTAGTGCAAATACTTTGCTCAAACAGACTACACAATTCATATAAATCACGCCTTCTTACTGTTTTGTCGAAGTTCATTAAGGGAACTAATTGTTTCAAAATAACATTATTTCCCACTTTGTTTTCATCATGTAAATGTTCAGCTTCGGGAAGCAGAATTACGAGAACAAAACTTATCAAATTTACTTCAACGCGTTGAAGAAGAGTACAACACATTATCAAGAGATATAAGAATTCTGGAACGGTCTCATGCTAAAAAAGATCGTCAACTTCAAAATCTGTTACTGGAAAAGAATGAATTATCTCGAAAAATTAAACACTTGGAATCACATTTGCATAAACTGAAAAATCGATCTGAATACACTTATCGTCGAAAGTAAGAACAAAGTGATTTTTTAATTAAAACAAATGAGTCATCTTTTGATTCTCGACTTAACTTGATTTTTTTCTTCGGATATACTATGAGTGCAATGAATAATGAAAAGCTACTCGTCTAAGTTTTTCAAATGTTTTTACTTATTGGGTTATTTTACCTTTAATAAGAAACAAAGACACCTAAATGTTAAACCTTGCATGATTAATCTGTTTTGCAAAGAATTGATCTGATTGTTTGAAATCTACGTTTCTGGTAGTATATCAAAAGGTTTCTACCTCACATTCAGGAATGTACATACGCATAATAGACAGTTTGATTTTATAAGAAAACATAAAATGTAAAAGCAGGACTTGACAATGAATGATTCCAAAATATGGTCTAGCATAGGCAATTCAAGTACGTACATCATTTACAAGTTAGTACTGTTACTTTTAGCTATGAAGTACTTATCTCTGGATTGACTGAAATTCAAACAAGTACTTGACACAGTTTCTAATACTTACAATTTCATCATCATTCTAAGCAGTAATTTAGTCCACCTCAATAGATTTAAAACTCAGTTTCTGTGCAGAGTCAAACCTTCAGGACATTTAGAATCACTATTAGTTGTTATCTGACTACAAAGTAGAGTCGTAGATGTCTTCTTCATAAATTGTCATGCATGCAAAATCAAAGCTTATTTTGTCTTATTAAAGCTGTTATCTCCATTCTCTTATTGGTAGAAACCCTGGCCAAACTGATGAATCAGTCGGTCGGTACCACAGTCAAGTAGGAGATGATTCAGAGTATGTTTTCAGTGATTTTGGCTCGCTAGATCGACACCCAAAAACTTACACCACCATTACAGCAACAGAAGAAAGACGAAGAAACAATTTGAACACTAATAATCTAGATGATTCTGATAATTATATACCACAAAAATCAGAAATATTTAGACCAGGCGGATCTGCAGATATCATGGATACCAGAAAGCAGCATTTTACTTTTAATCGACTTATGTCAGACTCTTATATAGTCCCAAAAACAAATGAGAGCACTATCAGCATTACACGTGACACTAAAAATGAAGGTTTACTTGAAGACAACAGTACTGACTTTTCACCAGTAAGGAATCAGCAAAACGAAGATCATTTACTAAGTCAGCAGCAGCAACAGTCAAATGAAAAGATTGCAGATAATCTCTCTGACACATTGGTGGACATGAATATTTCAGTAAGACATGACGAAACTGAAATAGAGAATCAGCAGCGTGATTTCACAGATACTGCTCACCGAAAGTGGAGTAATGCATCAGACTATCAATATCAGTCTAACCATCAGCAACTACAAGCTAAGGGAGGTAAAAAAGATGTCCTGTCTGCTGAAGATGACTCAATGAAACATAGATCCCAAGTACAAGTTGTTATTGGACCGTCTACGTCAAATGAGAAAAGACAAAGAACTGTACGTGCCAGCCACATACATAAGAAATATGCTTATAAGAAAGGTAAGCCCATAATTCAGGTGAATGCTCTTTAAAATGTTCAAAATCAACAACATTGACTTCCTTCTCAGTCAGGCATCTGTGCCTTAATAGCTAGTGTCCTCAACAGTAGCTAGTCAGTATTTATCTTATAATGACAGGTTACTTTTTAGGTCAGCAGTAATGTAGTAAAAATGTAATGCTGTTAACTGGTGGGTATTTTGTTCGTATGAGGATCAAAGTATCTCACACTAAAAGAAAAAATAGTAGTGAAATTATTGACCATAGCAAAAACAAAGAATTTTAGGCATCTGCTGTTTTACCAAATAGCATAAGAAACCCTACGTAGGATTCTTAATAAAGCAGGGATAAAAGTGAAAGCTGTGCCTACAAAATTAACTCAGGGACAAACTCCGTGGTCTAAAGTACTTCACTGACCCAATAAGACAAAATAATCTAACCCACAAAATATCTGACAGTGACTGTTGAGTTGATTATATAAAGTTCAGACCAGTAGGTGGAGGTCAGTCAATACATAGATTATCAATACATAGGAATTTACCTAAGTGTAAAATAACCAAACCAAGAAAAAAGGGAAAAACTAAGAAATCTCCGTGCATGCACTGACAAAAGTAACGCATTAAGGTAACACAGTTCTAAAATTCAATATAATTAGTTGTAGATGAATCTAAGTTTGTCAATTTACACATTACATGTGCAAAAGGACTGAGGCGACTCCAGTGATAGAAATATAAAAATAATTAAATTCAATAAAATCAATGCCTAAAAAAATGAAATTATATAAACAAATATTGGAAGTTATGTGAATGCCTTGATATGATTACGGGCAGTAATTTGATCACAAAACGTCGCGCAGTTGACAAGCTCGCTAGTTTTCTAGCCAGTCTCCATCCCGGGTAAAGAGGTAGGATTGGGTGTGAAGCTAGCAACCCTACATCACTAAATCTTTCAAGCCTCTAGAGAAACTTCAACATACAGAAAATATATTAAAAATACAAAAACTTCAAATAAAAATCTTATTCTTCGCTCGAATCGGAGAAGCGAAATGACGTGGGCTGGTGAAAGACTTCAGGAAGCCAGTCAGCCAGCCGATGTGTCTTCTCTCGGTAAAAGCAAGAGTAATAATGGGTACGTGGAATGTCCGCACAATTTACGAGACTGGGAAGGCTGCCCAGGTAGCCAAAGAGATGCGAAGATATGGATTAGAAGCACTGGGTATCTGCGAAAGCAGATGCAATGGATGTGGATTGACAACATTGTCAACAGGAGAGTCAACAATCTACTCTGATCACCCAGACGACAACCACGAACACACTGAGGGAGTGGCTATCATAATGTCACCATTAGCAGCCAGAGCTCTAATGCAGTGGGAACCAATCTCCTCCCCCACGATCATGACAGCAAGATTCAACTCAAAAGGAAGGAAGGTCACAATTATCCAATGCTATGCACACTGCTACAAAGAACGTGGAGCAAGAGAAGAAGGAAGAGTTTTACAGACAACTGCAAACAGTAATGGACAACAGCCCAAATGGCGACATCAAAATCCTTATGCGCGATATGAATGCCAAACTGGGAGCAGATAATACAGGAAGAGAACTCATCGTGGGTTGAGAGGCTCTCGGAGAAATGAATGATAACGGAGAACTAATCACAGACTTCTGCGCTTTTAATGATCTGGATTTTTAGCACCGATGGGAAGTCGGTTCTTCTATTCGGGTCAGAAACTTGGCGTGTCACGAAAAGGATTTCCAACAGGTTGCAGACTTTCATCAACAGCTGCCTCCTTCGCTGGTTCCATATTGAAGATCAAATGGCCAGAAAGAATAAGGAAGCAATAAACTCGGGCTGGGAACAAGCCAACCAAGAGCCGATCGCTCAACAAATATGTAGGAGAAAGTGGAGGTGGATTGGGCATACATTGAGGAGGCCGCCGAATGACATCGGACGCCAGACCTTCGAGTGGAATCCAAATGGGAAGTGATGAGTGGGTCGTCCTAGGATGACATGGAGGAGATCGTGTGAGGAAGAGATGAGAGAGTTTGGTCAGTCGTGGACCCAGCTGAAGCGGATAGCAGGAAATAAAACAGAGTGAAAATGTGTTGTTGAAGCCCTATGTTCTAATCGGAACGCAAGGCAACCATAATAAATAATAATATGTGCGCAAAATTTCACGTGTAAATAGTGCTGAATCTTAATCTATTTTTACTAAATGGAACCATTCTGCAGTGGAATCTGGTCAGTAATGCATAATTTGACAGCAGTAGGTACCTCATGCGCGTGAAACTGTTTTCTGCATTCAGCTCTAGAATCATTTATGTGTATGCCGTTTTTGTTTTTGCATTGTTTTTTGCATGCTGTCGTGGAATCGATGAAACACTGAGTGATTACGTATGAGCAATATAAAATTCTACTTCTGCAAAATGCGTGAACTTTTTAGGCATTATTTACTTTTAATTTATATATTCCACATGTAATGGATTATGTCGGTCATTGACAGATTAGTCATCGAAATTGGAAATCATCGTTCCACTCTCAAATAAACGTTCTTTGTTTAAAGTGTTATTAATTGATGTACTCACATTATTGAAAAACTGCTCATGTATTGTACTGAGATCGTCTAATAATGAAATAACCTTCATTATGCAGCATATATACATAGACTCTGTCTTCTACAGCAGTCTTGAAATAGTGTGGATTTCAGTCTATCCGTTTCTATTTGTATATTATTATAGATTACTGTGAGAAATTCATTTTCAAATCAGTAGTTAGTTCAGGATTACAAATTTGAGAGAATGTTGTAACCGTCGAAATAATGATGATTATTATTGTTAGCGTCAAGTTTTAGTTCTGCACCTTAATCTTCAAGCAGTTGCCGTGTGATTGTAATAGGAGTTTATAAAATCTCATTGGTCCACTATTATATCTGCTCATTTTCTAGTGAAATTTATGCACATAGTATTTTTAAACAACTGTTAACGTAGTTGTTGAAAATAATAACGTACTCTGTTGTTTGACTTTCAGTTCATGACCAGCCAGTATTACCATCTGTATTCAGTGGTCATGGTCTTCGAGTCAATAGACATCGCCCAGCCTCAGTTTCTGGTTATTTAGACGAATACGGTCTGAACAGACCGTATGACTTGTATCCTGCCCCGTCTTCAGCCAGACCAAGCACAAGCTTTGGACAGTTTTATAATACAAGACGTTTTAAATCATTGGACAGAGACTGTTACACTTCATGTCAAAATTTAAGCTCAAGACCTTACTCAACAATGAAAGTGATTCGTCCGTCAAATCGACAGGCTGTTATGTCACATTCCCTTTTCGACCGTCGTTTTAGAGACGGGCAGCATTCAAAATACTTACGACACAGTAGTCGTGGTGATAGTGAATTTGAACGACCACGCATGCCTCAGTCATATTCAACGCATCATATAAAAATTCCAGAGACGGTAAGCAGATGCCTAAGATTGCTTTTACGTTCACAAAATTGAACACTTCCCATCACGACACTGTATTGATAAAAACGGGTTTTCGTTGTGTTAAAGTTTCAAGGAAATCTAATGCAAAACACCCCAGTTTGAAACGATGATGTCACAGAATACGCTTAATATGGATTTCTACACCTCCGTCTGATGGCTCAATAAATCTTAGTATCTGTTTTCATTTGGCAAACAGTGTTACATGATAGACTATATAGAAAAGTAACAATAAATACTTCCTCACACTACAAACTGCATCTAATCAACATGCTGAAATTTATAAAACTCCCATGGTAGATAAGTTTACGTTTACCATAGTTAATCAGTGTTTACTTCAACAGTATATTGCTGTTAACTGAATTACAGGTTTAGAAGTGTGAATAGTTGTAAGACTTAAAGTTGAAGGTGTATCAACGTTCAACAACCTACTTTGGTTAAATGCAGAGAAACTTTTAGTGAATACAAGGTTTTAAACAAAAACACTTTTGTCACTCTTCATTGATACTAATAAGATCATTTACATCTCCCTTTTAAAATTCTGAGAAGACTTTAAGCAACTGAAATACCATCTACAATACTTTTTATTCTTTGGCATAAACTGTACTGATTGTCAGACTGCCTTTCAATACTTTACAAGTAGTAAGCAGTTGTGATTTCCAATATATTTTCGACTCAAACCAATCAAGATCATAAAATTCCATGGATACTCGGTAGAAGTAATTCAGTTAATTGTATAATCCTAAACGGATGATAGAGGCAACTTGACTCTTAAGCCTTCGCAGCTTAAACATACATAAACTGATAGCTGAGTGAATCTGAATTTATATTGATATATTGAATTAGGGGTAATTCAAGTAAAAATCGAAATCCTGTAAAATATACAGATAGGTATAGATTCACCTTTTTGATACTAATCTACAGTTTAGTACTACATATTATTTATTTACTAGTTTATATACTTTTATTCAGAGTATGTTCATACATATGCATGTATTTTACTTTACTCATAAAATTACATTTATCACGACAATGGGGATGTTTACTGGATTTATATGCTTTGTATAAATGCACGAATTCTAATGTTGCTGTTAATGAAAGAATGAGTTAATTTTCATCAATTCATGTGAAAATATCAAAAGTCCTCACCGAACAAGGTAAAGCAGAATGACAGTTAGATAGTAGTTAGTAGTAGTATTAGTTTCTGTAGTATAAGTAGTAAATGGTTATAATTATTTTAGTACCATTATTTGTAACTTTTAATGGTAGTTATAATAATAATGTTAAATATTCTGAATTAAAGCTAGTTTGAAAATGCGCAATATTTCTATTACCTTATTTAGTATTTATTATCTATGATATTATCTAAGTGATAATCACAGTTTAAAAAAAGTTAAAAAAATACTTTTCTGACTTTTCTAAAATATATTCAGAATGAATTGATATTTATAAATTATACTTTTATTGCATAGTATATAATTTAAGGAATCGATAACTTTTCGTGCCATACTTCGTTTAAATCACTGAACATAGTATATTTCCAAACTGCACATTATCTGTTCCAGCATATATTTAACAGTTGATTGTCTGAGCTCTCTGTTGAAGAAGCTAACTGTGTGAGGGCAACAAACTTGTTTATTTTGCAATTAATGATGGAAAATCTACCTGATATTTCAAATATGCACTCATCTGTATTTCATAGAAGATATTTACTGTGCACAATTTTGAATTATTATCAAATCTATGATTGTCAACTAGTAGATTCGTTAGGATCTGCATTAGTGTCAAGGTACATTTAATCCAGAATGAATCGACCAACTAAAAAGACGTTAACAACCTAGGTATACTGATCAGTTGTCTCGTCTTATATTGAAACTATTATGTTATGCCTACCAGTAACCCACTTATTGGTCAAACTCAAGGCTGTAACATTACGCAAAGAAAGTGTTACTAATTAACCAGTAAACTGAGATTTACTAGTTAGTGAGACAAGCAATTCAATAAAGGTTTTCAATAATAACCATTGTTCCAGCCACAGGTGGAACGGATGAAGATGTTAAAGTTAGCCGGATTTGGAAAGGCAAGAAACACCTTCATTAATCTGAAATCAGTTTGGAAATCTTCTGCACTCAGCATAAGCAACACGATTTGGATTTTCAACACAAATGTGAAGTCAGTCAGTTGTTCTGTGTTCGGTCAGAAACTTGGCGCATGACGAAAAGCATTTCCAACAAGTTACACTTGCCTTCGCTAGCTGCATTTTAAAAATCAAACGGCCAGAAAGAATTAGCAGCAAGAGACTCTGGGAACGAACAAACGATAACCTATTGCTTGGCAAGTATACAGGAGATAATGCAGATAGATAGGACACATTCTGAAGATACTTTCAAATGACTTGGCGAACCAGGCCATCGCTCGAGTGGAACAACAACAGGAAGCGACGAACAGGTAGTCCTAGAGTGACATGGAGGAAACCGTGCGCGGAAGAGATAAGAGATTGCGGGAAATCTGGGGGCCAGCTGAAGAGGGCAGAAGAAAATGAAACAAAGAGATGATATGTTGTTGAAGCCCTATGTTCCACTCGGAACCCAAGAGAACAGTAATAATCATAACAATAATAACAACCTCAATAGGTTTTACAGGATAGTGAAGTATATGAACTAAAAATGTGTTCCTCTGTTGAAGGCGCATGCTGTGATTTTGATTTAACTGACTTCTTAATAATAGTGTGAGCTTCTAACATCCATTGCTTTCGTGGTATGTTTGTAGTAAAAGTGAATTCTTAGTCTACCTATCATTTATCATTCAATACCCCATACCATTATTCTGTTTGACTGGTTCAAGATTGTTTGGGATGATATTTAAGAGCATACCTACAGATTCATACAAGTAAAGTAATTAATAAGATGTATATTAAAGGTTTGCCTGGTAATGAACTTTGGCTTTGGTCTATGAAATTTATAATAACAGATACATGATATAATTTAAACGTTGTTCAAAACACTCTTTCAACAGCTTAGATGGGTGACTGCACGATGGCTTTTTAGTAACATTTAAGAATGATTTTCTGGATAGTCTTATGTTTGTATTTTTGTATATGGCCGGAGATTTCATCACTAGAATTACGTGAGTACCTTTATTATTTTTTTAGGCAGTAAGTAAAGCCTTAATTTCAAAGTGTAAACTATTATGTAGGTAAATCCATTTGACAAGTGTTACTCATAGAATCCTAATGTGAGTTGATGCAAAATAATCCAGTGTTCTAAATAATTTTCCCTGGATGATATTTTGTTACTATATAACTTTCAGGAAAATACGATGTCTCACTTTTGCAAACTTCTAAAATTCTCTGAAATACCAAAATCACCTTTCTTTCATCAAAATGAACGTCTTCAACTGAACACATGTACTTTGAAGTATCAGGCACTTTGAAGTTGGAAGATTTAAAACGAGCTCAGATACTCTCAAATGCGAAATGTTATCGGAATAGTGCATGTCTTATCAACATTGAACTTCATTCATTCTGTTTATATACTGACCAACCCATACATAACTTAGGTAGTATTTCATTGAATTATTAGTCTTTGTAATACAAAATGTATACTAACAGATATGTAACGTCATAAAAGAAGTGTATTACTTCTAAACTTTACATTTTGAGTCAGTAGGTATTTATCAGTAGTAACATTTAAGTATTCTGCACAGATGTTTTACTACCGAAATTTAAACACCAATGAATATATAAATACAATATGACTTTCGAATTCACTTTGATAAGTTGGTAGATCAATCGCTTAGGAGAGTTCTGACTGTCTACTACCGTAAAATTATGTCATGACTGAATGGAAGAACTATGACATTTTTCCCATTTGTTTTGAAAATTTAAACATCAAATTCTTCATTTAAAAATCCCACATCTGTAACTTAGTTTGAATTACGGATAATATGAAACAGTTTTAAGAGGAAACATGCAAAGAAATTTCTGATTGGGTCAATGAAAATAAGATTAGTTCAAATTCCTGAACGAGTTTAATATTGAAAGCATTTCATCATATCAGGATTTTTATGAAGAATCGCTCAGGTTCATGTGCATTAGCGTTGTGTCTGATCAAATTTCTTTTTTCGTAGTCAATGGATGTCAAACATTCAAATGGAGTTTAAAAATGCAATTAATTCACTGATTCTTATTCACAGACTGAAATAATTTTTCGACTTCCAACTAAAGTCGCATATTTTCTTGAAAAAAATGTTCATAGACCTAATAATGCCAGGTTTATCTTACAGAGAGTTTCCAATAACTGAAAATGAACATTATTTTTGTGTACGTACTGTTGTCTCATTCAGTTTTTACTGTGAAAATCTCATACTACTAATAGTAACTAAACGCAAATTGTTGAATTTATCTCAAGTGAATACATTCACGAACTTCTTTTGGTATTAAGTGTAAGTAACTATGTCTGTGTAAGAAATATATCATTTTACGGTGTAATGTAATGTAAGTCTAGCATTTGTTTTAATAACTCAAAAGTGAAATGCCTGTCTTCTTAAAACAAAAGTCAGTAGGCTACAATATTTCTGTTAATTTCACAGTCACCTACATGTCAATCTTACGCAATTCCAAACCAAATTTTTAACTAGGTCCCCCAATTCAACCATCGATATAAAGTCTGGCGTTACGGCAGTATGCTCTAGGTAAGAAATATTGGTACAAATGTTTACTTTAATGAGTCAAATACTTTTATTAACTAACTGCGAAATCTCTGGCAATTGCACTCACAAAGTAAATATGCTTTATCCCACTATGATTTTTAATAGGTTCATTAAAATTTAATGTGTAAATTTCTAACAATTGAGTGTTGGTGGTTAACAGATGGTAAAATTAGTATAGAACTTTTAGTCCATCGAAGTCGGTGGTAGAGATGAAGCAAGAAGTTGGTCTTTCAGATCACCCAGTAAAATGTTAATAAAGTTAAGCGGAAAACACTATTTATCTATCTGCATACAAGATTTTCTTCCAACTGGGAAGTTAATCCCTGAATTCACTAAGTAGTATGGTACTTCAGTGTGATTTCATTTATCGTATACCTGATATTTATCCTTTTTGTGAAAGAAATACGATGGTGTTTCCATGATTTCAGATATCTTTCTTGTTCTATATCTTCTCCAGCATTAGCTTGCGCGATGAAAGTTTATTTTTTTTAACTTTCACTGTTTTCAAATATTTAATTATTTCTCTGTTTCTGTTTATTTTTTCTCACAGAAATGTTTGGAGAGTAGTTTAGATCAAATCAACTATGAAGTAGATCGTCTGCGTGATTGCATAAAATTATTGTCGCCATAATAAACAACGTGGAATAAATACATTTCCATCATTTACATGTGAAAGAATAATTCTGCTTGTTTATTGTTTAACTTTATACTAGACAAACAAATTCCTAGTCTTTATAATTGAATGAAAAACACTTGAAATTTTCTGCACTAAGTAATTTAACTTTGTTAACTTCCAATAGCAAAACAGTTTCGTTAGAATAAAAATCATTTAGCTTCCTTTAAAAAAAATAATTTCATATCTTTCGCAGCCAAAGCTCATTTTACAAGAATAAGATGAGATATCTTAGACAAAGAGCTTTTTCACTAAAAGACTAAGAAAAATAAGTGTAAAGTTGTACACTTTACATTAGTGTTTGCACAAATTCATATAATATGCCTACATATCAAGGAAAATACTCTCTTATTTTGATATGATCTACTTCGTTTGCGAATCAAATGTGGTTTTTATTATTCCCAACTATTCTATTCAAAAAAACATTTCATTCAATCAGCCTAAACCTTTACTCTACAATATTCTGTTCCTTTCAATTTATATTCTTACTTCAAAAATATAAGCTTTGATGATAATTATTTGTACGATTTTTTGAATAGTTACTTCCAGTTTCAGTTAAACGAAGGATTTAGCAATTTCTGAAGTTAGTTCTAACCTGCAACTCTGAGGCAGCTTATCCTTCCATTTTAAAGATCTTAATATGATTGAGACAAAGGACGACTTTCATGGCTTTCTGTTTTCTTCGTAATATCACATTTCTAGGTGAACTGGTCTTATGGAACGCGGCGGTTTATTGATCTACCTGATATTTTGTTACTCACCCCACCTCAGCGTGATCATAGGAAAATTAGTAAGCATAAGAAATTCCAAATCTCTCAGTGCTTTTTAGCTGCAGCTCAATGAGCAGATGGATCATGTGCTTTCAGTGTAAGTAGTAAAATTGTTGGTTTCAATGAAAAAGTGAAAGTATATTTAATTCACACATTCTCTTTTGAGTGAGTTAAGATATGCAGTACTGTCTGTAGAAGTGTAATGGTTGGAAAGCATGTCAGATTCTTTCACCATTATGAAAACTACTACCTAGTTAATTAAGTCCAAGTCTCTTTCATGCATATTTTTTAACTACTATGAAACAAGATTTAAATGAACTGGAAAAAATGTATTCAGAGTAACTACCGTCTGTGTGCGCTTTAAATCAGAGAAGGACGTTGATCATCACCTAAGTCACATGCTAGTCACTGTTGAGACGTTGTGCTACACAAAATACAAAAACAAACCACTCATTAGGATCCCCGTCGTCCTCTACACTACGTAGTTCAAAACATTATGCAATATGTCATAGGCATCACTTAACGACAGTACTTAGAGACTATAAGAGGTTTTTAAAAATTCGTTGTGATCAAAATCAACCCGTAAGACATTCCACGTTCATTCACACTGGGTTTGACTGATAGACAGTTGTAATAACTCCCCTTACTGATTAATTGACTAGTCGACAAGTTTTATGAAGGTAGATTAAATACTATCTGTGAATTCAGTTTAGTCTAAAACATGTTAATATCTACTTCATGTATCATGCATTTCATTCAGTAACCAGTGACTACGCAACCATAAACAAATTATACCACATGGTGATTATATTGTCCGAATCGAATCTTGAAATTTTAAAACGTAACCATGACTTGTAGTTTCTGAGAAATACTACACTGGCAATTAATTATCTTCTTTCTACGGTTCGCTCGAAAATATGTGGTTGTGAGGATAGTATATCGTATTTTTAGAAGTTTAAAGGAAAATTTTTTTAAACACAGAAAAAATTCACGGAAAGCTGGAGCGTGGACAAAAAAGCCCGTGCGGGAATGGAATTTTGGCTCTGTGATACGTATAATTCTGTAACAGAATAATTTAATTTATTAAAACATGTATTGATACAGTATTATTTACTCATTGATGACGTCTCGAGCGGAATTTATTGTTCATAATCTTGTAAACGTAATATAATCATTAGCAGTGAAATATGTTTGTAACATCATAGATAAATAAATAATACTGTATCAAAAAAAATTTCTGTTATGGAATAAAAACAACTGTCTGTAAGGAGCAATTACACCACTGAACAGATTTGTACTCATCGTGCTTTACTGAGCGAATCAGTTACAGGAATAGGTAAGTTTATCCCACTGCTTGTGTTGTAATCGCAAATGAAATCAACCGTTTCATTAAGGGGAACATTGGTGAATAAAGATTCTATGTCAATTAAACACAACCTTATCCTTGATAAACTTACCTATTCCTGTAACTTACATCAGAGACATCATCTTAATGTGTACAGAAAATATTAGATTCACCTTTCAAGAAAAGGCATACAAACAAATTGATGGTGTTGCGATGGGTAGCCCTCTTGGGCCCCTGTTAGCAGATATGTTCATGTCGAAATTGGAGAGACAAATGCAAGGTATGCTTGGAGAATTTATACTGTATAAACGTTATGTAGATGATACTCTCATTATTGGTGATAATATTAAATCTATTGAAAACTTTATTACTCTATTTAATCATATTCATCCAAATATCCGAGTGACTTCCGAACGCGAATCGAATAACAAACTCGGTTTCCTCGATATTACAATGACCAGGAGAGATGATGGTACGATTCAGGGATCTATTTTTCGTAAACAAACGTGGAGTGGACAATATCTTCATTTTACCAGTTTTGTTCCTATCCAGTATAAACGTTCCCTAGTGAAATGTTTGTTCTCATGGGCCCGAAAAATATGCACGAGTGACACAGTGATGGATGAGTTTCGACATATACATTCAGTTTTATTAGCTAATGGTTATCCGGAAAACTTTATCACTTGTCACAGTAAAGAAAGACCACATCTCGAAAAGACAGCTTCGGTACCAAAGAAAGCTATCTTTATTAACCTACCATTCAAGGGTGATCAGATTATGCAGTTGACAGCTCAAAGACTCCGGTCAGCCATCAAACGCACATTCAACGCCGCATCTCTTTTCCTCACTTGCCGAACATTTTCAATCCCTGTACCTACGATTAAAGGACGAAATTCTGTGGACTCTACTTCAAACTGTATCTACAAGTTCACCTGCAGCTGCGGTGACACCTATATAGGTAGAACTAACAGAATGTTCCAATGTCGTCGGAAAGAACATGTTCCAAAATGGCTACTAAATCACATAGAAAATTCCAATGCCAGTAATCTGAATAGCAATCCAGCATCATCCATTGCAAAACACTTATTAATGTCAGGTCACAAAATAAATATTAATGACTGTTTTACAATTATTTCACATAACTCTAATTCAAGGTTATTGAAGGTGATGGAAGCACTTTGGATTAATCACATACAGCCTAAACTGTGTGTACAAAAGTCAATAGACTTCAATCTTCGCCTACCCTGGACTACTTGACCTATCTAAATATGATTGGTCATTAGTATGTACTTTTGTTTTTATTTAACTGAGTAATTGTCATGAACTTTATTTTATTATTGTTAACCATGTTAGTTGTAAAGCGGTTGTAAAGAAACTACGAAATGATATCATCTCGCGAAATTTGTCTTCTTAATGCCTTATTCAAATTTATGAAAGGGACTAATTGTTTCACAATTTATATTTGATTGAATTTTTGCATTATGATTTCTTGAATAGCCAAGATCGATAACTCTGACCTATTTGCCTGACGTTAAATCCATTGTAAGGTCTTAGGTATACAAATGTTTCATATCTAATTCAGTTAAAAGTCTACTTCTGTTCGCAAATCTTTTAACCGAATGTTTGTTTGTTCAAATTTCGTCCTAATCGTAGGTTTTTCAAGCATTCTATTTAGAGTCTGGTATGACTTGCTTTTACACAGTGTACTACGAAGTTAGTGAATTATCTTTAATTAAAATTTTCATATTAACAAAGAAACTGCTTAGTGGCAGACCACAGGGATCAGAATGACATAGTGTATCGCACACCAAATGATAGGTGACTGTAGGATCAAATTTACTGGTCAGAGACAGACAGTTTGTCAGAATACAAAACTTTAATGTAATATTGAAAAATAGCTCCAAATAAGATTGACAGTCCAAAATATACTGTTTCAGTGCTCTGCTTTCTTTACCGTTAGACAACTGTTCAACTCATATTTCAGCTATTCCTCTATGTTAAATAAATCTTAATTAAAAATAAGGACAATTTTATGTACTCAGATGCCGTTTAACAATATTTGCTGTACAGCTCTCCAATTTAAATTTATAATATTCCTCAAATATATCCATATCCGAATAAATTTACTAACATCCCCTGCAAGTCAAACCCTACCATTTCTTGGGTTTCATTTAAGTAACATAAATTACTATCCACCTTCAAGTTACCAGTTTTTTTCTGAATTAGCAAAAATGTCTTAGGTTTTCTGTTTATTTCAACATAGAAATCGGTTTCATGTTGTAAGAAGTTGATTAGAAACGATCAGGTAATTATTATTATTATTGTTTCCTTTAATTCCTACAGGAACATAGGGCTTCAGCCGTGCGTCTCCATTGCGTTCTGTTTTCTGCTAGAGTCTTCACCTGGCTCCAAGTCTGCCCACACGTTTTCATCTCCTCTTCACATGACCTCCTCCAAGTCACCCTTGGACGACCAAATCGCCACTTCCCTTTCGGTTTCCACTCAAGGGCTTGTCTAGTGATGTCACTTGATGGTTTCCTAAGAGTATGGCCAATCCATCTCCATTCCTTCCTGCCTATTTGTTTCACAATCGGTTCCTGGTTGGTTCGCTCCCAGAGATCTCTATTGCTGATCCTTTCTGGCCATCTGAATTTGAGTATTGAGCGAAGACAACTGTTAATGAAGGTCTGTAGTTTGTTTGAGATGCTCTTTATGACGCGCAGTGCAAGTCTCTGATCCGTATAGTAGCACTGACTTCACATTGGAGTTGAAAATCCGGATCTTATTTTTGATGCTGAGTGCTGTTGACCTCCACACAGGCTTGAGAGTAGTGAAAGCTTGTCTTGCTTTTCCGATTCTTGCTTTGATATCCTCGTCAGTTCCGCCTGTAGCTGAGACTATGCTTCCCAGGTAGGTAGAAGAGGCTGTTTCTTTCAGGTTCCTCCCATTTATGCTGATCGTTGTCTGTTGTTGTTTTTCTTGTCCAGGAATCTTCATTACCTCTGTTTTCTCTATGTTCATCTGAAGTCCTATCTTTGATGCTTCTTCTGCTAACTTGTTGCTTTTCGCCTGCATATCTCCCAGTTTGTGGGAAATCAGACATATATCATCGGCGAAATCCAGATCCTCCAAATTTTTTGTGTGAGTCCATTTTATGCCTGTTTCCTCATTCCCCGCTGTTTGTCGCATTATCCAGTCTACTGCAATCAGGAAAATCATTGGCGATAGTAGGCAGCCTTGTCTTACTCCTGTCCTCACTTCGAAGGGTTCCGTAAGTTTCCCGTTGTGGATTACTTGGCATGCAGGATGGTCGTACAACTGTTGGATGAGATGTATAATTGTCGGTGGCACCCCATAGTAGCGTAGTAGTTCCCAAATCACCTCTCGATCGACGCTGTCGAAGGCCTTTTCAAAGTCGATGAAGTTGAGATAGAGAGGTAACTGCCATTCCAAACTTTGTTCAATGATGATCCGTAATGTGGCGATCTGGTCAATGCA